CGCGAATCAACGACGCGATTGCCCCTCTTTAATATTTTTTTTTCTTCTCCTTCCCAAGACACTTTTCCATCGTCACGCACAGCTGCGCATCACACACTCACACTAGAAGCGGCAGATTCAGATTCGGGTTCACCGGCCCGGCCGGCGCCCCGCTCCGTAGTGTAGCCGCGCCCCGCAAGAAACTAAACTCCGGCCTCGACACCCGACAAGGCCTCCAATCTGGTCGCTATTTCGTGAGGCGCGACGGTCTCCGAGGAAGGTGTCACGTGGGGTCCACAAGCCAGGCCGAGGGCGAGAGTGTTTCGAGCAATCGCTCATCTGGCTGATAGGAATTGATCTGGTCAGGCGGGACCGCCGCGGTCGCCTCTTGTCCCCGCGCGGTGGGCGCGGCGCGCTCCTTCAAGGTGATCGCGAAACTCGTGCGCGAGATCGTCGCAGCGATAGCACCGCGGCCGCGCGGGGACACCTGGAGCCTCCAGCGATGCTGCTGCCGGGCACCAGCAGGGCACCAGCACACCACCGGCAGGGCACCAGCAGAGCACCAGCAGGGCACCAGCAGGGCACCAGCAGGGCACCAGCAGGGCACCAGCAGGGCACCAGCAGGGCCTCCGCCGCGACCAGGCACACCTGGCCGTCCGCGGGGAGAAGGCCCTGCCGCCCTGCCCTGCCCACGTGCCCTGCCCAGCCCCGGGGGCAGTGGGCAGTGGGCACTAGTCGCATGTCGCCCGCCACGCCGAGCCACACGTCCAGCCGCGTCCAGCACTACACTGGCCGGCGAACCCGATATACTCGGCCACGCGCGGCGGTCGACCGGGGCTGCACTGCATCGTCCGGAACTGTACACCGCCGAGAGAAGGGTCGCGAGCAAGTTGAGGAAGTGGTCCGCCGCAGCCTCCGCGCCGCGGGCGGCTGGACCAGCCGGCAGCACAGCCAGTGTCGCTGTCACTGGGACGCCCGGCGTGTCCAACGGGGCCTCCAGCTCCAGCATCCAGCAGGGCCTCCAGTGGGGCCTCTAACAGCAGGGCCTCCTCAGGACACACAGCACTACATCCAGCAGGGCTTTCATCGTAGCCTCCAGTGGAGCCTCTAGCAGCAGGGCCTCCAGCAGGACATATAGCACTACATCCAGCACGGCTTTCAGCGAAGCCTGCTACATTGGGGCCTCCATAGTGGTGCCTCCAGCGCAGCGGACTGGGCTGGGCGGGTGTCCAGGATCTACGAGCGAGAGAGAGGAGACGCGACAGCACCTGCCAGTCCTCTCACTCCCACACCACCGGACCGACTTGTCATTCGGTGAGCTCATAAACCAAAAAACGCTCAAGAAAACAACAGTGGAAAAAAATTGCGTGAATACATCAGCCCGTCCGTCCGGTCCACCCGACCGACCACCCGGCTCCTCCTCTAGAGACTATTTTCAAACAACAACTACTATCAAATTTTGCGGGAACCAGTTCTTGTTTTTGTTATTTTCTTTGCAGACGACCTCCGCACCGCTTCGACTCATTTATAATACACGGAACTGTCACAATATAAACATAGCCGGCCCGCTGGACTGGCCGCTCCACTCGCGGCGAGGCGAGGCGAGCGTGTGTGATGGATATAGGGGGACGAAACGACAGCTATCGGGGCGACAGGTGACAGCGAGCGCGGCCGACCGCGGCGGACCGCGGGGAACAACGGATTTATGACGACTTTGGGGGACCGCATTTAAATGATAGAATTAGCGGCAGCGCCGGGCAGCGCCCCACGGCGCCCGGGGGCCGTACCGCCGGGATGAGAAATAAAACATCAAGGAGCATTATAACAGTCGGCCGATTCAGAGCCGAGCGAAAGGCAAGACGGCCGCGGTCGACCGCCGTGATTTTAGCGACGAAACGCGACCCAACGGACCCAACGGCTCGGCGGCGGGTCGACCCCGGCCACCGCCGGGGCGGATTACGTTTCGTTGTCACCGACGATACGGCGAAATAAAACAGAGTGGACGTCGTCTCGGGCCCTGGTCCAGGCGGGTCCGGCCGGGCGGCCGCGCCCTCGAGCAGGACAGGACGGCAGCGCCCGCCGGGGCCCGCCCGCACCCCGGAGAGGTCCATCACATCACGCTATGGCGCTATGCAAGCTACCAGGCTCCATAGAATTATACGACGATGGCTTTACGATTGAGCCTCGCCACGCCGCGCCACGCCGCGGGCCGCCTCATCTCCAGTCCGGCCGGAGCTGTCAGTCAGCGTGCGGCTGTGCGCGGACGGATGGACGGCGCGGCCGGAGCGCGGGGCGGCGCGGCGGTATTCGCTGATAGCTTCGCCTCGGCCGGGACCAGCCGGCCCCGGGCCGGGCCGTGACTGGTTCAGTTATCAGCGCGACACGGCACAGGACGAGGCGCAGGCCGTGCAGTGCGGCTAGTGAGACCGGTCGCTCGCCCCGCCAAACACACCCTTCACCGAGTGCCTCCCGCCCGCCCGCCGCCGGTAACCCGCGGGGCGCGGGCCGCGAGATACGGCGGTCCACGGCCAGGCCGCGCGGCCGCACCGCCGCGCACCGAGACGAATGGCGACAAAGTTGCGGCACGCGGCGCGGCGCAGTGCAGCCCGGCGAGGCTGCGGCGGACTCCGCAGCCCACGGTGTCGCAGCGCCGTCCAGCCCGCCGCGGAGGCTGCGCGGGACTCGCAGGACACTCGCTGTGTCCTCGCCGTGTCCCCGGTGTGTCGCGGCGGCCCTGCCGCTACCTGCCCCGTTAATTGTCCCAATAAAAACTTTATCCCCCGGACAGGCTGCCCCTAAAACATTACGACCCCGGCGGCGGACCGGCGGGGACCAGTGCGGTGGCGAGCGGGCCACGACGGGGACCGGCCGCGACCTCACCTTCGCCGACGACATCTCAGGGCGACGCGCCCCAAAAAAGTATTTTTCCCCCCCTTCCCGGTCGTCGTTATCCGCGCGCCCGCCTCGCGGCGGTACTTGAGAAAATTTTAAAGAAGTGTTTAAGGAGAAATGCCCAGGATGTGAGTGGGGCTTTAATTGGCCGTTCGCGGTGTTTATAACAGGGTCGTTTATGTCCCCCGGTCGCCGTGCGTCCGTCCGCCCGCGTCCTTCTCTCTCGCGCTCGTTGCGCGGTGCGAAGCTCGGCCGCGGTGCGAAGCTCGGCCGCGGCCCGACGGAGACGGACGCTCACTCAAATCGGGTCGCATGTCATCGCGGCGGCCGCGGCGACGCGGTCGCGCGAAAAGTGGCCCGGCGGCGGGACACGGGGTGCGGGAGGGGGGTACGGGACGGGCGGGTCCGCTCTGCGGTCCAGCAGGCGGCTAATAGGAATCTCGGAATTAATCACAGAGCAAGAGATTTTGACAAGCCGCCCGCCCCGCCTGTGGTGGGCTGTCCGGGCCGCCGGGCCGGTCACACTGCGTCAGGGACAGCGGGGACTTGTCATGTCCAGGAGACAACGCCCCGAATCGATTTTTATCCCCGGGAATAATATAAAAATCCCACCAGGACTACGTCATCTCCTTCAGTTTAGCGCGGGATGCTGTGGTCCTCTTTGGGGTCTCCGTCCAAGGGCTTATACCTGTGCGTTCGTCTCCCGCCCGACGCCACCTAGCCTAGGCCACCGCTCGCTGCCGGCGCGCGTCCGCGTAGGGTGGGCTGCCTGCGCCCCGGGCGCTGGGCGAGCCTCGACCACCACCGGCAGTGTTCGACAGCGGCGGGGTGCGAGCAGGTCGAGCAGGCCCCGATGACATTGTTCCCCACCTGGACCTGGAAGTGACCTTCGTTTCGCACAGCGCGAGGTGCGCCGCGTCCACATGGCGACCGCAGCTGTCGCCCCTCCGAGGAAGAAAAACGAGGAAACAAGTGAGAGATGCCGTCAAGTCAGCCAGCCGGCCGGCCGGGCTGCGGCCGCAAGCCTCTACTCGAGTTGACAGCTTGTTTGGAATCTGTCACTGTCCGCGGCACGACACGCCGGGCCCGGGCCGCGCCATGGGACATCCAGGACGCACAAAGCTCCTTGTGCTGGAATTCAGACGACGACGGCCTGCCTGCCGGACCAGCCGGCCGCGCCTCGCCGCGCCACACCCCGACCGCAGGACAGGACGCAACCAGGGAGATTAAATAGATACTGGGCAGATAGATGCGTGCCATTTTTACTCGGGCTGAATTGAAACGGCGACGGGAGGCGGCGCCCCACCTCCTCGGGTCACCACTGCACCGCGCCCCGCGTGCCGGCAATACTTTATGAAGACGCAGGGAACTCGTGATGCAGTCCCTTCAAGGAGACAGGAGTGCCCCCCCCCCAAAAAAAAAAACAACAACAAAAAACAAACAAGGTGACTTTGGAAGTCAGGTCCTTGCTTGATGACATATGTAGATGATACGCAGTTGAGCGATTGGTTGGTGTTCAAGGGAATGGGAAAAAGGGAGTGGGTGAAGGTTCTCGCCAATGCAGGCCCGGGGCGACGCGCTCTGAGGGCCAAGGGACTACTTGGGATCCTCCGGGAGGAAGGACCCCGGGACGACCCGCCGCCGTGGGGCTGTGTACACCAGGGTGCGGCCGCCCAGCACAAGGGATGAGCATGGTGGGGCGGGGCGGGGCCGAGCAGGACCGGGCGGCGGCAGCAGCCCCTCTGCGAAACTTTTAATTAAAACAAACCGGGTCAGATCAAAGACGAAAAATTATTCACTAGTCGTCGGGCACGACGGCGCGCGCGTCGGTGGCGGAGCCGCCGGAGCAGGGGAGGTCCGGCCGCCACCGCCCCCCAAGGGCCCCGCCCCGCCGCCGTCCGCGCCGCCCCCGCAGGGGCTTCGCCCGCTCCGCCCCTCGCCACGCCCAAAGGCGTGCCAAAGGACCCCGAGAAGACTTTGTCTAAATTTCAATCAGGCACGCGGGGCCAGGGTGGGCGCCAACCCCCCTAGTCGAAGGGCGGGGCCAAATAATGCACAAATTACAACTTCTTTTTACAAAAGAAAAAAAAAAGCAAGATTTCAATTTTTCTTAAAATTATGTGGCTTACCTGGTATTCTTCTGTACAAGGTGGCTGATAAACAACACGCCCTTGGGTAGTTTACACTGCACAGTGCAGCCGATTAGGAGATCGTCGTCTCTCGTTCCATCCGCCCTTCGCCAGCTAATCGATCAGCAGCACATCACACCTGACGGCGTCCTCCCGCGACGCGAGGCGCTCTGCCTGAGTGGCGAAAGTGGTAGAAAAGCACCAATGCGATACAATTCTGGTAAAGACAGACTCTTTCTGTAACAGGTAACACATGTTTCATGCAATCATCAAAACTTCCAATGTCGTCTCATTGTAAAGGTTAGGTTATGAATGAGAGATCGGCTCCAGGTCGTATCATTCTATCTTATATATCTTATTCTCTTTACAGGTTATTCAAGGTGAATTACTAAAAAACTTACCTCAGTATTATTCAATTTTCAAAAGTAGACGGAGATAAGGGGAACGTGTAATTTCAAGTGTCCAGCAAGAGCGGCGTGAGTTGTAACAGCACGAGCAACAGCACCAGCACCATGACCTCGAAGAACGAAACTTCTGAAACCGGAAGTAGGGTGAGAAATCCGTCGATAGTATCTTGTTTTCACTACTGTAATATTTCCAAAATATGAAATCAACACTTATTTTAAACATTGAGAGGCTTCTTAGTGGCAGGAGCGAATAGGTAATTACACATTTTAAATCTTTTTTCCCCCATTTTCCTCGGTAAACGAAACGAGGTTTCAATGAAGGCACTATCTCACATAGGTTAACTCATGTCTAATGCCATTTTTCGGCAGAAATGAGTAGTTTTTGGAGAGTGCTTGCTGCTTTGTTATGGTACCACGCCATGCTTCGCCACTCTGAGCAATAAGGTCCCGATGGCACTGACCGGAACAATTCGTGAAATGTTTGAAATCTAACGTCACGCATCCTAACCTCTGCAAGACTGTCGCTCAT